TTTCTAAATATTTGAAAGTCTCTTTTAAGGGACCGACCTCTTTGAAGTAGGGCCGAATTAGGCCAACCTCCAAATTTCAAAATTTTTCTACGTATAACAAGGCATTGTGTTGTTACCAAGTTTAAGTGAAGAAAGGTCACAAGAACTTGGGAAATTCATAAATCGAATAATAGAAAAACACCAACTTTCATTTGACTCCCAAATATTATAAACATCTCAAAGAAGTTTTCAGGCATTTACATCAAAAGTTCAGCAAATTTCTAAGTATTTTCAAGAGGATAAGGGTTGAGAGAAGCTAGGAAGGGAATAGCGAGAGTAGAGCTCAAAAGACTGGGGCACTCTAGCAGTAATCAGGGCGACGTGCTAGCCCATACTAAAGAATACCTCTCCAGTTGAGGCATCTGCAGAGCCAGATCGTTTTCTGCTTTCTCAATCCGTTCATCATATGCAGAATCTTCTTGATCTTTTGCCTCAGATTTAAACTTGTCAAACTTCTCAAGAAGACTTGCATATTCGAGCTGGAATTGGGAGAGTTCCACATTCGCCTCGCGTTTAGATTCTTTCAACTTCCCAATCTCTGTCAGAAGTTTTTTGTTCTCTTTAGTTATGCTTTGATTTTGAGCCTGAAGAACCCGAGCTTCTTCACCAAGCTTGACATACTCCTCATCATCATACTCCTTCTTTGCTAGAGCCGAAGCACGGGCGTGGATAGCATCCTTCATGGCTTTGTCTTTTCGGGCTATTCTAGCCCCTACCTCGTGAACCTTCTGAAGACCCTTTAAGATGAAAAAAGAAGAAACTTAGACAAATTCTAAGGAAGGGAAAGAAAGCCTAAAGAAAAAGAAACAAGTTTTACCAAAACTATATGCAGGATTGCTTGGCGAGCAACTTCATCATCGGACAAAGCTTCATTTACAGCCAAGTCCTAAGGCAAAATTACCTCTCGAGCAATTCCCACAGCCACATTAAAGTCTTCAATGGCAGAGTCTTTCATAGTAATCTTTCTCCTTTTGGCCATGAGGACAGGTCGGAAAGGTGGATTGGTAGGCTTAGAAGAGGGATCTACTTCAGACTCTGTAATTTTACACCATTTTGGGGCAAGGTCTTCAAGAAGTTCAAAAACTAAATTAGTTTGGCTGTCAAGGTAATGAACAGAAATTGGAGGATCGAGTTCGACAGGAACATAGTCTGTGTCCTGAACCAAGTCAGTAGGATCATTAACTGGCTGAACAGCACCATTCGATTTGGGAGGAACAAATTCAACTGGAACCTCAGACGTAGGATCCCCTTCATGCACAGAAATTGAAGAAACAGGCGGATCAATTGGCAAAAGACGGTTTGATGGTTGGGGTCGGCTCAACAGTCGATAAAAAAATCTAAAAAATTCTTTATTATTCTGTTTCGTCTGGAACTGGCCAATAAAGCTCTATTACAGGATCGAGGTGTCTGATCTCGAGCAGCTTGAATAGTCTCTTGATCGACTGCAAGAGTAGTGTTAGGACAATTCGACATTGCGATGAATGACATATAAGTCGGCGTATACCCAGGGTGTGAGCAACTCAGCAAAATAACGGATCTTTGCGATCCCATACTTTCTTAAGCTCATCTATCTTAACAGCACTCTCAGGGATCCTGCCCTTCACAATCTCACCTTCAGACAGAAGACAACATAAGTCAAAAATAGTGAATGAACAAACAACGATGAAAGAGTTAAAAAGGCAATTGTCTGGTGCGCCTTCTTCATAGGGGCAACAATAGGAAGGAGTAACACCAGCAGAATACTCCTAATTCCCAAAGACGAAGACCACATCATTCGCATGGCCCTTGTTCGAGATTAGGAGATGAGTTACCAAATAGCAGTCCTTCTTCCTCATCGCCAGATAATAATTATCTCCAGTCGATTTGATGATATAACAGTATAAAATCTCCTATAAACCAAGGCTCAAGCCTATAAGTCTGTTTAGAGCAGCTACTCCCATCACTATCCTGAACAAGTTGGGACAGCATTGGATAGGACACAACTTCATTGCTGAGAATAACCAGAGTAACAGGGGGTCAAGAGGAAAATGAACTCCACCTTCTGTTATTGCTAGTGTGTGAATGGGGATACTTTCCCTGGTACCTATGAGGGGTTCATCGCTGCCAACAACTCAAACATCCACATCATCAGGAATGTTGTACTTTGCCTTGAAGACTGGAATTTCAAAGGAAGCAAAGGAGCCATAATAGTAGATAACGAAAAAGCAAGAAGAAGTGAAGAGGGAAAAGAAAAAGAAATCTGAAGTCGAAAGAAGTTAAAGTGAAAAAAGGAATTGAAGAAGCCGCTTATAAAAGAAGGGAATTCTAAAAGACAACATTTAAATGACTAGACACGCCACCAAAACAAGGGGGTTATCCCAAAAGTATGAGCAATTATGGGTTTGGAGGCATTAAACAACTAACAGACAAAAAACATTTGTCAAACGTTTTTTGGGGGCAAATGAAGAGGGCGGCTCCCTATATGACATGTGCACTTGTATTAAATGACCCCACGTGAGCAAGACAAGATCAGTCACGTAACAGAGACGTCATTAGACTAAGTCATCAGTCTGAAACCGAGTCGTTCAAAGAGCTCGAGAGTAAAGGGAAGAGGTCAGTCCTCATAATGACCGAGTTGTTTCAAACAGTAAACGAAGAGCTAAAAAGATACCTATAACTCAAGGATTCTGGTTAAACAAATTGAAGTAATTATAAGTCCGACATGAGGAATTGCTAGAGAGATCTCAACAACTTCTCAAAGAGAGTCGCCTAATTAGAGGTAGATGTACCACCTTGAAACGAGAATCATGAAAACCCTAACTGAACATGGGTCTATAAAAGACACAAAGAGTCAAGGTGAAAAATACGCTGAACTCTCCTCATTTTTTGCAATCGTCTCGGTTCCATTACTGACTTAAGCATTAGAGTGTATTCGATCGAATCACTTCGATCTTGGACAGTTAGTTCGTTTTGTAAGAAATCATGTTCAGAACTCACTCTTACCTGAAATATTCATTCTTTATTCTTGTAGGAGATATCCTGAGTTTTTATCTCTTACATTTTCCATAATATCAATATTTATAATGTCTAATGCTTCCTGTCTCTCACATTTGTAGGATTCGTATCCCTTATTTTGGCTGCTTCCACTTTTTGGTGGTATAAGGCTTATCCACTAATTACTTGGCATCGCGGGCTGAAAATAGTGAGCGAGCTATCTTCGGCATATCTAAATATTAATGGGTCAATGAAGGGAACGTAATGGGTCAAAGATTTGAGTTCCGTTGACTTTTCCGAGATGGACACAAGATATTTCGGTGTTCATTCCATCCATGAGAAGAAGATAATTAGGGCAGAAAAAACTAATAGTGTATTTGATCTGGCTGACGTAATGGCAAATATGAGTGTTTTGTAAGAGGATGAAAAGTAAAAAAAATTAATTTTTTTTAATATATATTTGGAGTGGATGAAGAAGTGAAAGGAAAAAAATATACATAAATACATATATTATCATGATATCTATGCATAAAATTAATGTGCATAGTACGCCATACATGAATAAAATATATGCATATAATAAGAGACATAAAAATAAATAACATTCATTTCAATATACATAATTAACTTTTTATTTACGTTTTCTCTCAATTTTAGAACGATAAATCCTAGTGAGTTTGAAAAGACTACTCTTTATACTTCATCATTCTCATTTCTTTTTTTATCAAACATGATATTTTATTTATTCTTTCCATCCAATTTTCCTTCATACCAAACAAAGCAAGACAGTATTTTCCAATAGTAAATCCTGCTGATCCAATTATAAAATTCCCGACCACAAAGCAAAGCATTTTATTTTTCACACTAGCCACAATGTCAAACTAACTGTGTCATACTTCAAAACATCCTCCCAGCAATTTAGAAATTGTAATTCAAAACCCTTCAACAGAGACAGAAATTTTATTAACAAAATGTTTTGAGAACAAAGGTTAAACTCTTTTCAAATAATGCGTAAATGACAAATGGCAAAACTGTGTTAAGGTTATAAAGTTCAACAAAAATGTTTTATAAAATCACAGTTCCTTTTTTTCCAATCCGAAAAAAATTGCAAACATTTATGCATCATATTAACATAACATAATAGTTTTTTCAAACCGTTTACGTTATTCTGCAAGCGAAATGCAATTAAACTAATAAATACTTAACTGAAAACAGTCCTACATATTCCAAACAGGTTAAACTCCTCTTCAATTATAAAATAATTCAAAATAACACATGACTAGGATAGGCCAAAAGAGTTATATTCACCAAAATAAGGAATAAATCATGAAGCATTGTACTATAAGATTACAATTAGACAGGACTCAACTCATATATGTTTACCTCAGGTTGGTGTCAATACAATTTGAGCGAGCAAGAGATCTTCATTCATTATAACGAGAATAATGAACACAAGAATTACTGCTTCAGTTTGTCATTGGGATAGAGGAGGTCATACCTGCAATGTAGCACTCCCAGCTCGTCTGCCTCAATTTATCCTTTTTCTAATTTCCAGACCTAAGAAAAAAGGGCTTCATACATACTACAAAGCAATCTGGCCGGTAAAGATTGTCTGCGAAGTAAGTAAAGATCATCAACCAGAAAAGATTCAGGAGCAATATTAGCACTTACTTCGCATAGTTGGGTTGACTGTACAATATTTTACAGTTCAGGAGCAGGAGCAATCTGGCATTTTCGAGTGTTGGTCAACCTTTAGGAAAACAATGACACAATGCATAATCTTGACCAAACAAAGAGAGATATGCATCATTTTTATTAATAACAGTATATCGACAATGACACTTAAAAATTAAATGACGGGAAATTCTCTACCGGTAGTTTCACACTTTGGTTAATGAATTTAACATTCCTATTATCTTTGAAGGTGAATAAAATGAAGCAATAATGCCTATTTGAGGTCAAAGCTAAGGTCCAAAAAGAAGGAAATTTTAACAAACGCTTGGATAGAATTTTGATGACAGCTTGAACTCCGCAAGGTCTTTGATGAACTGGACAGATGTTGGTGGTGTGTCAGCGTCTTTGCAGTCAGTGTTGCAGCCCCACAGCCGAACTGCAAGCCTCCGACACTTTGGAGAAGATTGTCTCAAATAAGTATTGTACCAGTTAATAACATCATCTTTCTGAATGCTCCTAAGCTCCCCTGCTTCCTTCTCGGACAAGTCAAATATATACCTGAAAAGCAAGGTGCGTGGAGTTTGAAGTGCAAGTTACTGAAACCACAGTAATAATTATATTCAAGGATGATTATTCCAGTGGTCTTAAACAAAGCACTCTCAACGGTCCAATGGATTAGATAGTGCTTTCCAACACCCCCACAATGCAACAAAAGCACTAGCCATTGCAAGCTTTATGCTTTACATCTTCATGTAAATTTAACAAAATGAAGTAGGTGGAAGATAAGTAACATTCCCAATCACTAGTATAGCAGCTGACTCTTTATGAAATCCCGTTCCAATTCACCAAAGGATCACTTGTCCCTCCATTGGCATCACCACCAATAGTAGGGTTGACTCTACCACCAAATTTTACAGTTCACAGGTTCAAAACCCAGTAATAGATTTTGATGCTAGTAAACAGTACTTTGTTCACATGCTTGGACAGCCAACACTAAATTACAAAAATAATGACAAGTCAACATAGGGGCGTATAATCATCTGGTCTACCATAACTGACACATAGAATGTCAATTGGTCAAATTAAAGTGTTCACAGGCTAGATAATTTCCCTACACTGACATAGCATTTAAGATCTTTGAATTCTGTTGCTAGGACATACAAAGACACAATGCATAAGGCAATGGTACCATACCACAATCTCATAGTTTGCTCATAACAGTTGGTGACTATGTGCACCAGGTAATATGCACTAAATGTACCTTCTATCTACAATCTGACCCCAAAACCGATTCGTTTCATATGCAAGTGATGGATCTTTCTCCAGCAACTTTGCAATCAACCCACTTTTATAATTCTCAAACGATTCATCATCAAGTCCACCCTGCAATGCCAAGAAAGTTCCATTAGATTGGTCATGCAGCAAATAATTAGCCATTTTAGAAAGTGTGGTTACATAAGCAGCTAACTACATTCCGTTATCTCCTCATCTTCATAGAATTAGAAGCAACTCAACGCCATTGCCAAGTGCTAAACAACAAGAAATCATAGGCAATGTATGAAGAACAAACTTCAAATGCGGTATATTACACCAGAAAACACAACCACATAAAGAGTACACAATTAAATGCGTTCCAGCTACATTTGAATTAGGGAACAATGATTCCCAAGCAAAAACAGCCCAATTATGAGATTTAAAACCAAAATTTTATCGCTAACTCTCAACTCTCAAGCTCTCTCTTACATTGCCGATTGACTTGACATATAAGGAAAATTTATCAGAATTATCAAACTGACTTCATTTTCCACACCAAACTCTATATTGAACTTTTGAATTCCAACAAACATTTCATCTAGGCATACAGTTCACTGCAGTTGAGATACACTCGTACTCTAATTCTAGTTATATGCAGACCACATTACACAATGGAAATGGATTTGTATAAGCAAAAAATATAACAAACTTATTGAATATTCGACAATCAGCAAGACATGAAAAAATAAGAAAACAAACTGAATCAACAGAAATTCGTTGCTTACCAACATCTCTTCCAAGCCATGTATGAAGTTATCAATCCTCTTTTGCAAGTAGACAGGGTTGTACTCAGAAGATTGAACACGGAAACAAAATCCTAATATGCGGTATGTCACTCGCGGGCTACAGTCAACAACATAACCAAGCTGCTCTTTTGTCCTATATTTAACATTAATGACAAATTTAATTAAACCTACAGAATTTTCCACATAAACTTGCTCATACTTTCATCAAAAATAATTTTCTGTCTCAATGGATTAATTAGAAAGACAGAGAGAGGAAAGGAAGGAGGGAGGAGAGGAAGAAAGAGATCCTAAATGTGACAGCTATGCGGATTTCGTCATCCTCTCCCAGAGCAGAGAATTTCCGATATAAAGTATGTGGATCCAACATGTGATAATTTCAACCTCATTATACCTAAGCTGGTTAAAAAGCGGTTCTTCCACAATTTCATCAAAAAGATCAATGAGTGCTTTCAATTTGATCATTTCAGCCTCCAGTTCTGGTTCAATTTGAAAATAAAGCTGCAAGAAAAGAACATGCAATAAATAATTAGAGATCAAATTTTAGGAACATTGAGTGCTTTCATAAGAACCGTCTCCAAAAAAATATAATATGGAAAAAAGAATTTCCTTGCAAAAAACTTTATTTTTCAATTACCTCAACTACGGAGTTTGTTTCCAGCTTATTTTTCACTCTGACATCTCTAACAAGGTCAGCACCAGAAGGAAGACAAATAACATATTCTTTATGCCTCATCTCCAATGGCAGTTGTTTTACAGGAAAATTACTTCTAAATATATTTGATATGTTGATTGCTTCTTCTTCCAGTAAATTGCCATGGCAAAGGCCTTCAATATACAGCTGTAGACAGGCAGAAAAAATTGATTAAAGAAATGGAACCATAACGATCTTACAGAACTAAATGTGTGCATATAGATTGTATAACTGGTTGCCTGGGCTTGGTCATCAACACATTTAGCGTAGTCTGTGAGAGAGTACAAGTAGCTCTTGCTGCCATTTTCCCATAATTTTCTTATCCTTCGGTTCACAAATTTTGGAGAATAAAGAATGTCTGATAAACTGGCACTTACACACACCGCCCCCCCCCAAAAAAAAAAAAAAACAAACAAACAAAAAGTGATTAACCATTGCATGGTTGACAGCCGGTATTCTAGATAGAGTACCACTATCAAATTTGTATGATATTGATAACCCTGAATGTGTCATAAGCAATTTCACAGCAGCCCAATTTAGATGATCTTGTTTAAAGGAACCAGGCCTGACGAGATCATACATGAGGTATGGTTTATGACAAAGTGTTCGCAGCATTGGATCCGCTGGGTTCACTTTAATGCAGATCAAACTTTGCATATAGCATAAAACCCAATATCCAGACCTCAAAGCAAGCAAGTGCAGTGTTCAGCGAAGCAGATTAAAACACAGAGAGAGTGTAGTATATAGCAAAGTAAAATAACTACAAAATAAACGGGAGGCAGAATAGTAAAGAGTAAAACAATATAGATGGAAGGCTGATTAACTCAGCATAGAGAAAATTAAGCAATGGGAAGAGAAAGTGAAAATGAAAATGCTCCTTACGAAGCTTTCAGCAATTTAGAGTCAAATCAACCAAAAAAATTCTCTTTGGAAGTAATCTAATACATCTAGAATGCAGTTTACTCACGCACCTGGGAAAGGAGCTCGGGAATAAAAGCCCTCAAATCAGCAAGAGACAAGTCATTGAGCAAGCACAGCTTCTCATCTGCATCCCAGAAACTCTGACACAGCACTTGCAGTCTCAAGTATGATGAATGACTTAGAGGCTTCATGTTCGTGTTTTTCAAAGTTCTATCCAAATCCTCTTTAATAACCTGTCAGAATCCATACATATGCCAAGGACAAACCAAAAAGACTAAGTTACAGTATGACCATCTCCAGATATATTTGAACTCAAATCTTCATCAAGGATAGGGCTAAAAATGTTAATGCATAAGTTCTCTGCAGCTTTAATAATCCCTGAATAATCTCATTAAATGTCAATCATATTACAATCAAGTTGAACAGATAATAATGTGCATGGGTGTCTGGATAAACTTCAATACCGGTTTTGACCAACTAACCACATAGGAGGCACCTTAATTTCAGTTATCATGAAAGGACATGCCTCACATGTGAGGAAGACAAAAACATCCAAAAAAACAGAGAAAATAAAACTTATTTTAAGGAAGATCATGTACCGCAGAGAAGCAACATTACAAGCTAAAAAATGTAGAGAATGAGAAAGAGCATATAAATGCTACTTCCTACATACCAGGAAGCGGTCAGCTGTTGGCAAAAAAGATCTGGCAACTGCCAAAACTTTGGATAAAAGAACTGGAAGCTTATCATTGAAGCCATAGACCTTCAGCTCCAACTTGTCACTAAACAGAGATACAGAAGTTTCCAATTTAGCCACACTGGCCTGCAGGCAAAAAATTTATCAGTATTGTAGTGACTTCATGTGCCATACATCTAAAAGGCTTAACAATTTGAGAAATGGAAGAGTCAGAGGCCCAATGACTCAAAAACAAAAAGGCAAAAAGAAAACTCAACTGAACTCAAAACACCTTCTCCAAATAGTTCTTCCATTAAGCCTGTCCAGGGTTATATTTTCTGCTAAGACACAAGTACCGTCACATGTGTTTTTACTATCTCAATCAAAGTTAATAAGGCCCACCTCAACCACTCGCATTACCGTTGATGGGTATCACATCACTATCTCACTGGAAACATAGTTGATCCTCTACCTCACTATCTCACTGGAAACATAGTTGATCCTCTACAAACATGTCTAAACCACCTCAGTCGATTCCCTATAAAGATATCTGTTATTGTTGCTCCTTCTCCCATTTCATGAATATCTTATTCGTAATTCTAGCCTTTCAAGTTTTATCCCCACTATCATCAGAACATTCTCATTTCTTCCACATTTGGATTTTAAGCATGTAATTGCTTAATTCCCCAAAATTCCGTACCATAAAACATTGTTGGTCTAATGGTTGCACAAATTTGCCTTTTACTAAGTTCAACTATATCCAATTTTAGCTAATTGACGATCTTATCAGTGCTACAAGTCACTGGAGTTTATGAACTGTCCACACAAAACAATACTATGGAGCCAACAGGTTGAAAGAAGTTAAGGTGCTTGAATAACAACTATTAAAAAAATCACTTTCACAGAAACAAAACACAAGCGTCAATGGATAAGTAACTAACCTGATAAATAATCTCATTCAGTTCATCTTTTAGAAGGTGCACAAATAACTCGGTCAATAGAGCAGTCTTTAAACTATTGTATGCCCCTTTTAAAGTAATTCGGAAGTATGTATTAGCACGGGGAAGCTTGAAAGTCTTATCCAGCTTGTACCAGAACTTCATTAAGGGTTCATCAAGTATACACCTTGGAGAAGACACATAAGCAAAATCAAATGCCTTGTCGGCACGGATAGAAAAATCACATGGAATGAACTCATTCCTTGCAGGCAGATGTAATGACACATCAGTTTCTGGAGGATCCCTCCACAATTCCATCAGAGATGAAGATATATCTTCCTCAGTGTATCGTGATCCAAACCATGGCTCGCATTGGGCATCTGACAATAGGAAAGGCATGGACAAAAAAGCTTTAGCATATCAGTCAGTCTTTTCCTTTTCTCCTTTGGCTTTCATAGTGACTTCTAAGTCATAACTTTGATAAATGCAAATCCATGAACAGGAAAGAAACCAAAGAAGGCAGTAAAATATCAAAACCACTTAATTCAATCAAAAATCCTCTTTTCCAAGCAAGTCAGACCTCTTTTCCATACAAATCAGCCACAAAAATGTACTCTAGACCAAGCAGCATCCCAATTTAAACATAGGGTTCAAATTAGTGATTATGGAAGCTAAAAACACAAAGGATTTAAAAAATCAACCAACAGAAGCTACAGAAGGAAAGCTAGGGGTTTTATAACTCTGGATATAAACTAACCAACCAAAACAATTGCCACCATATGTTGCGTGCAGTCTCCACAGGCATACGGACTTTTTGGCATGCACATATCTCTAAGTCACAGAAGCTACAGAAGAAAAGCTAGTGGAGATAACTGTGGAATGTGGACATAAACTGCCATGAGTTATTGGACCTATTTTCACCATATGGTACGTTTCTCCACAGAATTGCAAAATTTTTGGCATGTGCATATCTCTTAAGTCACGCAATACTTAGGGGTCACATTACATGCACCAGCCAGACCTATCATTTGGTTCTACTACTTCAAGCAAAAAGATATGAATGACTTTCTGCAATGAGAACACAAGCTGAACAAAAAACTTTTACCCTAAGTGAACAATGAAAATGAATAGGGCGAGGAATGCAAAGAGATCACACATTCCCAATTATCTATCCAAATATCCTACATTATAAACAAAATGACTCCATACACCTTTTAGTATCCAGGGTAGAAAACATACTCTTTAAGAAACTGGCTGGCACTTTCATTAATTGTATATTTGTTCCAACAGGGAAGACCCTTCAAGATGAATTGAGCATTAAGATCCACAGTACCATTGTATGCATTCTAAAACACAGTTGAAAAGAACTAATATCATGATTATTGACCAGGATTCAGACCAACCAATTTGGAAGGGCATGCAACTTGGTCACAAGCTTAATTGCTAAGTCAATCAAAAAACCCATACAATATAGTATAATAGACGGGGGGGTTATTGGCATTATGGTAATCTTGTCAAGAAAGATAGAGTAGTTTCTAAAGCCTCTTTGTCCCTCTTAAGATTTTGTGCAGCAGGCCGGGATTTGTAGGAGTTCTGGGGCTTTATCGTGTTGCAGCAGTCAAATTGTTCTCATTCCTCATACCCAATCTATCTCTTTCCTATATAAGCAAGGGTATCAAAATAATTATTGACAGGGATAGTATGAGGGATGGATGCATAACGAGGTCATGGCCCCTTGCCAGAGGTGTGGATCTGCAAGAACACTAGAAAAGTTTGGGAGGACTTTTTGAAAGTCTTGGGGTATGAAGTGGGGTCAGGGCAAAGGGTAAAAAAAGCTTTTGGCATGATCCTTATAATGGCAGAGAGTCAAAGAAAGATAAATTTCCAGATCTGTTCAGTGATGCTCTTAATAAAGAGGCATATGTGACATATCACACTACAGCGATAAGCTAAGGTATAATAATTCCCGTTCAAGTAAAATTGAAGCTTATCACAACAAGCATATGGGATATAATAGTAATAGAGAAAAGGTGTTTGAAAGTAAACCTTGTGACCAGTCAAGAAACTTGGATACGATGTCAACCCTCATGTTATCTGGCGTGAAGAAACCCAAAACATATTTTATCATCTCCTCGTCCCATACCTCGTAGGCATAATCCCCATAAATAATGTGCTCCGGCGGATAAACAAGCAGATTCTCTGGAACAATGAAATTTCACAAGTTTTATAACAAGAAAGAAAGAACATGCTCAAAAACACTTCACAATACCAATAGGTTGCTCAATATAGCCCTAACTAGAATTCTCAAACAAGAATCCTTGATCAATAAAAACAATGATCAAAGCTTAATACACAGAAAGAAGCAATGAGAAAATACAATCAATCCTCAATTCGGTGTTTACTAAGCAAACTTACAACAGAATACTAGAATTTAAGCAAGTCGTTACTCCTCAAACTAAGAGGCGGTTGCCTGTCAGTTTCATAATATCCAGGAAACTAAAGTGAATAATAAAAACAACAAAAAGAAATAAACCTGCAAGTTCTGCAGCATAATCATCCTGCGGTTGCTCCTCTGCAAATCTGAATTCCATATTCCCAATATCCTGGAGTTCCTTAAATATCCATTTTTGGGGAGAAACTTGACGCAATAACTTGAGGTATTGATACACAAAGCCAATGATATCAAAGATCTGCCATAACAGCACCACATATAAATAAAAGAAAAAGAAATGTCAATAAATCAATGTGAGTCAACAATAACGGCGCCAATTTCCAATATGCATTCTATGCAGTAGAGGCTAGCTAGGCCGTTGCCTCCTCTAACATGTGTTATGCTCTTTGTTCGATAAGAAACACCAATTTTATTAATAATTGAAATAAAATAGTGGTACATGGACCAATCAAAAGTGAGCAAGTCGTCCAACCAAATGATTAGTAAAACAAAAGGCTAGAACAATGGAGCCACATTACATCCACATGATGCAGTCCAACTTGCCGTGATACTAAAAATAGGAATATTATCAAAATCCTTTGTCACATTACATAAAGCCACATTACAACATGCATTATGCTCTAGGTTTATACCATTAGCAATAACAAGGCCACACAAACAACCAAGCAAGCAGCTCATGGAAGAAGATAAGGAATAGCATACCACAAAGCGGAATAATAAAACAAAGCTTTATCAAACCAGCCAAGAGCAATTAATAATTATTCAAAGCATCAAAAATGGGAAATAGCAGCTGCCACATTAATGAGCTTGTAAATGCAGTTCTTAGCCATAACCTGGATTCATGTCTCCTCCAGGGCTTCATATTGCCCTTGCATGCCGTTTAACCCAAAAAACGAAGTATTAGGTCAACAAAGACTTAATCAAACCCTCACACAGCCCAATCTAGGATAGCATTCAATAAGTTCTTGGCAATCATGTATCCTCCCATTGTCTTGACCCTTATTCTATTATCCTTTTTCTGGATCGTGCTGTCAACAGGACTATTCCTCCATATTCGTGCATTCATCCATTTTTAATTGCATATGATCCTTGATTGGATACTAATAACTAATTAACTTCTCAATAAGTTTATGAAATGAGTATGTCATAGGATGCAAGAATGAGCTGTTTTTTATTCTGGCCAACCATCCATCATAATATCTTCAAATATTCTCGTTCTTTCAAACAGGTTTTCTTCCCCTGGGGATACTGAACAGCTCAAATTGTGCATAAAAGCTCGGTTGGCCACATATATTAGCTGTTCTACAAAATTCTACCTCAAGCATGATAAATATTTTTAGCCAAATGGCATGCCTGAGGCACTTCTCCAGTTCATCCTGCCTATTCTAAACTATGAGCAACATCCATTGCACTCGTGTATGCACACTTAACCATATCATTCATGATGCCATCCACTCCCATGACTCCCCTATTTCAGACTTCACAATGATTATGTCACACATATGAACTTATCATTGAAATCAAAATTTTGGAGACCCTACATTTCCCATGACAAAATATGTAATGCATATGCAGCCTTCGAAGAATAAGAAATTCCCACAAAGCTTTCAAGTCGAAGGCATATGGAATTCTTCTAACCAAATAACAGGTAAACAGCAATATCGGAATAACCTTTTCCAAGCCAGAGTCGGTGAGGTGAATAGACATGCCAAAAATATAAGCCATTGAAGATCGGTGCATTCCTTCATCCCCAACACCAGCAGATACAGAAGTTGCCCACCCTTTAGCTTTCAGAAAATAAAGCAAGCTTCCTTTGCCCTCTGAAAATATATTATTTTGCACTCAGATGTTAAAGCCTTCAGTTTAAACATGCAATCAACCAAATTAGTTTAAAAAACAAAAAGGTGTGTGTATATGGAGCTGAACTTAATTAACCACCAGGATGGAAGAAAATGAGAACATTGAAGACAAAAAAGGGGGTCAAGGAACATATTTAATTCCCAATTATTTAGCCAGCAAAGCATGAAATAAGGAATGAAGACAAAGTAGGAAAACATGAGAAGTGCTAGAAATTATCTGTTCCCAAACGTGAATGCAAAAAAAACTCTTTACTAGGATTTAGGACAGTCTTCCTACAAATGGTTGCAAAATCAATACATGAATGAGCCCGCTCTAATATAACCACCGTACGACAAAGAGAAAAGTGCTAAACAATTGCAAATTTTTTGGAAATTGGATAAAGTTACCAATTCATGATCTAGCATGTATGGAATGAAAACTTCATTCCGGCTTCTCGGGGAATCGATGGAAGGCTTTCATTAGCCTCTCTTCGATGGAAGTTTTATTTTCCCAACATTTCTCATCAAATTTGGCCTGCTACTTCTAGCGATCCTCAACTTTTTTGTGAAAAATAAATATCTTGGTTGTTGTAATTTCATCTCTTTAACAAGTTTAGTAATAAGCAACAACCCAATTGTTCTGATGGAGAGAAAAACCCATAATTAAATTTTCGGGAAATTTCCAAACCAACAATTTGAACGAAACCTTTCAATTGCTTATCTTATCAGATTTCTTATGCAGCTGGGTCCCCCAAACCACCAACTAGAGCATAAGAAGCACAATCTTGGTCCCATACAAAGAAGCATAGGCAGACTGTAAATGAAGGAGAAAGAGATACACAATGATGAAAACAAAAACAATGGAACATTTGGAAAACAGAACCACAGTAAATTCCATGCAAACATTAATGGGCATTAACATAATAAATACTCCAATATTCTCCAAAATAACTATGCCTCCGTCATGTAATAAAAATAAAAGAGATACATCAACCAAATGAAAACATAAAACAGTCAAAGACAATCCTACCATGACCAATGAGATGAGCCAGGTAATCCTCTGATTTCTTCAAATAATCTTTTCGAAGAGATGGCAATGTCCAGGACAAATCTAGGATATGAACATCTTTAACTGCCCCCAGCCGATAAAGTTTACCAGCTTTCCAGATAGGGGCTTCCAACCTAGCCTCTGGCATTACTGCAGAGCCTTTCTTGACATCACTAAATAGTTCGAGTACCCAACTTTCAAGCACCTCCAGGGTCTCTGCAGCATTTGAATTACAGTAATCAGTATAACATTGATAAAGATTTTCAATGGATGGAATAGTCATAACAGAACTGGTCATAGAAGCTCATTCGATCATTCAATATAACTTTTGAGATCATGTCACGAACACATTACTGCATGCTAAAGTAGTAAAACCAGGCAATATAAGAGTGTACCAAAAGCATTCGGCAATCAGTCAAGAATGGTCATAGCATTTCGGTCATTACACAAATTGAAGCAATTAATTTCTCTTCTATAACCTAAGAATTAGACATAAAAAAGAACTTCCATCCTGAACAAAATTTACATATGAAATCAAAAGAAGTGTAAGCTGAAGTTAACACGAAAAAGATATGTTGGCAAGAAATATAGGATAAAATTGTTTCTTTTAATCAACTCAATAATACATATGAGGAACGAACTAATCATTTAAACCACTAAACCAAAGGAAAATTTGCCCAGTTTGCCATCACCATTCTCCAAGGAACATACAATTATATTATCTTCCCCTTTTAAATTTAACAGAATCTGTAAAACTATTCATTGTCTTCTCCACTAAGTACCACCGCAAATACCACAAGTCTCCACCACCAGCTTCATCATCAACTTTGCTAAAAGCTCCATGAACTCCTACCGATCACAACCTCCACTGATCTGAGTGTGACCTGTTGCATATATCACCGCCATCACCCCATTCGTATCACATTTTGAACACCAAAATTAACCCTTCCCTTCTCGCTGTAGTGTCATTTTAATATATTAATTGTGAAAGATTAACACAATATTAGAGAGAAACAGAGAGAGGTTAAAACTTAACCTACCTCTCATACATTACTTGTATTTATAGTTAACCTACAGTAATACGAATTACACATACACCCTCTTACTATTAACAATTTACACATACTACCTTATCATTTGTAACACTCCCCCTCAAGCTGGACTATATATATCATATAATTCAAGTTTGAAACAAATAGCTGTAAGACATGTACGAGTCAATACTTTGGTAAACATATCTGCAAGCTAATCTTCAGATTTCACAAATGGAGTTGTAATCTCCCCAGCTACTATCTTTGTCCCGAATAAAGTGACAATCAACCTCAATATGTTTGGTTCTCTCATGAAACACAGGATTTTTCAGCGATATGGATAGCTGTTTGGTTGTCACAAAACAACTGTAAAGGAAGTTGAACTAGAAACTCAATTTCTTGGAGAAAGTGTAGTAGTCAAGTCAACTCACTCATCGTATGTGCCATTGCCCTATACTCAACCTCAGCACTGAATCTTGCTACCACTAGTTATTTCTTACTTTTCCATGAGACAACATTACCTCCTAAGAAAGTACAATAACCAGTGGTTGATCTCCGATCAAAAGGAAAGTCAACCCAATCAGCATCTGAGAAACCTTCCACTCTAAGATATCCATTAGCTCGATATAGCAGTCCAAGTCCAGGAGCTCGTTTGAGATATCGCAGAATATGAGTAACTGCCTCCCAATGTGGTACTCTAGGATATCCCATGAACTGACTTACTATACTAACTGCATATGAAATATCTGGTCGAATAATAGTGAGATAATTAAGCTTCCCAACTAATCTGCGATACCGACCCGAATTCTCAAAGACTCTCAAACAATACACTATCATCCATCAATAATTTCTGATTCAGATCCATAGGCACATCAATCGGTCTACCACCCAGCAAACCTGCTTCCTCAACCATATCAAGTACATATTTCCTCTGAAATAACAAATTCTCTGTTTAGATCGAGCCACCTCAATACCCAAGAAACACCTGAGTTTTTTCAAATCCTTAATATGAAATCGATCCTATAAGAATATTTTTAACTTGACAATTCCCTCAAAATTATTTTCAGTAATCGCAATATCATCTACATAGACTACCAATAGAATATACCCAACATCTGTCTGCCTATGAAACACAAAATAATCTGTCTGACACCGAAGAAAACTAAACTCTAAAATTGCATCTAAAAACTTACCAAACCATGCCCTCAGTGACTGTTTCAAACCATACAAAAAAATTTTTAACCGACATACACTTTTACCATACTCTCCCTGAGCAGTAAACCCAGGTGACTATTCCATATAGACCTCTTCAACCAAATCACCATATAAGAAGGCATTCTTGATATCTAACTGAAACAAGGGCCAATCAAGATTAGCAGCAAGAGAAATCAAGATACGAACAGAGAAAATTTTGACAACAGGAGAAAAATTCTCCTCATAATCAACACCATAAGTCTGAATAAAACCCTTTGCAACAAGTCGGGCTTTGAGACGCTCCACAGAACCATCAGGGTAAAATTTAACAGTATACACCCAACAACAGTCAACAGTTCGTTTACCAGAGGGTAAAGGATCAAGATCCCAAGTCCTATCATGATGTAAAGCAGTCATCTCCTCCTCCATAGCTTTCTCCAACCCGGATCAAATAATACATCCTGTAAATGCTTAGGAATAAATATAGCAAATAATTGGTAAGTTAAAAAGAGAAGACAGGAGACAAGGCATCATATGAAACAAAATGAGAAATGAGATGATTAGTAACACACAAAAGAGTACCTTTGCGAAGAGCAATAGGTATAGAATCTAAATTACCTAAAGTTCCAGGATCCAAAGATGGCAAAGAAGACGGTACGGGCACTTCAGTCGATGAGCGAGGACGACGAGAGTAGACACGAAAAGGTAAAATAGATGGTAACACAACGAACAGCAGAATATCTAAAGATAAGGAAAGGGATGGTGATACAGGAGAGGATCCAAATTCCAAATTCAGAGGCTGAGAAGGTGCTGAAAAGTATGGAGCAGATTCTTTATATGTGACATCCGCACTAGTAAAGTATCGGTGCAGAGAAGGATTGTAACAACGATACCCCTTCTGCGTGCGGGAGTAACCAAGAAATACATATTTGGTAGCTCGAGGGTCAAGTTTGTCAAATTCAGGACCTAAATTGTGAACATAACAGACACAACCAAAAACCTTAGGAGTCAGAGAAAATAAGAACTTACCAGGAAAAAAAACAGAATAAGGACTTTGCCCATTTAACACAGAGGAGGGCATACGATTAATCAGATGACAAGCAGTAAAAACATCACTCCAATAATATTGGAAAATATTCATCTAGAATAACAGGACACGGGTGACTTCTAACAAATGGCGATTCTTGCGTTCAGCAACACCATTTTGTGGAGAGGTATAAGCACAAGAAGTCTGAAGAATAATGTCAGTTTTACTAAGATAAGTTGAAAAAGGATCAGATTCATATTCCCGAGCATTATTAAAACGTAAAGTACGTATACAACAACCAAACTGAGTTTTTATTTTCTTAAGAAAAGTCTCAAATATAGAGAATAATTCAGACCAAGCTTTCATCAAAAATAACCAAGTCATACGAGAATAGTCATCCACGAATATCACAAAATATGAATATTTATTAGATGAAATATTCTTTATTGGACCCCATACATCATAATGGACTAATGCAAAGAGACAAGACACACGATTATTGACTCTAGACTGAAATGACACACGATGATGCTTACTAAGTTGACAAGCTTCACAAGACAAAGACGACACATAACTTAGACTAGGAAGTTGGCGTTTCAAATTCCGGAGATAAGGATATCCAAGACGACAATGTCATTGAAAAGGAGACAACAAGGTCTGTAGAGCTCGGGTAGGTGAATCAAAGTCAGAGTAATATAGGCCACCAGCTTCATGCCCCGTACCAATCTTCCTCTTCGTCTTGAGATCCTGAAAGACACAATAAGAAGGGTAAAAGATTACAGAACAATTGACAAAACGAATAATCTTGCTAATAGAAAGTAAACTAAAAAGAAACTGAGGAACAAAAAATACGGACAATAGGAACATATCAGGACTCAAGTGAGTAGTTCCCAGACCTAAAACTCTAGAACAAGTACCATTAGCAAGAGTAACACTACGTGTGGAAGTAGCAGACTGATAAGTAGAGAAAACGTCAGACGCACCAGTCACGTGGTCAAAGTCACTAGAGTTGATGATCCAAGGACTACGAGTAGAAGACAATAAACAGGTGAAAGCAGTACCTGACTGGGCAAAAATAGCAGTAGAGAAAGATGGAACAGCCTGTTGCTGGGACAAGAACAGAGCATACTCTTCTGGACCCAGTGTAATAGTAGCCGACCCAGTGTCTGGTGGAGCTGATCGAGGTATGGAAGCAACAACAGAAGTATCATCCTGACAAGAAGACTGATTAGCAGTACAAGAAGGTTTTTCATATAAATCTCAACAGAAATCAACAGTGTGTCCTCCACGGCCATTACATGATCCACTACGACCCCCACGACCACCCGTACGACCTCCACGACCAATACGTCCACCACGATGACCATCACTATGGCTATTAGGAACCACAAGAGCTGAGCAATTAGTGGAGACACCATGATCAATGACTGAAGGAGTAGACAGTGTAGCACGTTGTAAACGAGAAAAAACCTCTAACAGTGATGGAAGACTAGATCCATCCAAAATCTGTGAACGAATAGCTTCATATTCAGGTTTCAATCCGACCAAAAATCTAACAACATTCAGGTCCTTATGTTACTTTTGTCAAACTGCTGCATCAGTAGTAAACGGATAATAAGTCTTCATCTCCTCATAGACTCCTCGAACATGAGAGTAATAATCCGCAAAACTCAGGGTACCCTGCTCCAACTGGAAGTACTCCTTACACACCTCATATGCACGAGCAAAATTACCTGTACCAGAATACATCGTGGCCAAGTGATCCCATATCTCTTTGGTAGTATCAAGATAGAGTAGAGAATAGATAATACTGGGCTCTGTGCTATTCAACAATAAAGAAATAATATGAGCATCCTCTTGTTCCCACTGATTATAACCAGGAGTATCTTCCTTGGGTTTAGAACCTACCAGATATTTCTTAAATCCTTTGCCTCGAAGAAAAACTTGAACCGATCAAGACCACAAAGTGTAATTAGTCTCATTAAGTTTTGACAGAAGTCATAGGACCATTAATAAGGGTTGGAGAAGACAAAGATGGAGTAAGGG